GAGCGCGCGCCGCTGTCTCCCGGCCGCCGCCGGGTTCGTGCGGCGCGCCGACTCACCGAGTCGCCAGCCGAGTCCGCGTCTACACCCCCATCCGACCCGATTGGTAAAAGTCGCCCCGCGCGCGGCCTCCCCCGCCCCTCCCCTCCCCCGGCCCAGCGCACTCGCCGCCCCGCAGACAAATCACCGGGTGACAAATCGCTCTCAGATGCAAATACCTCGCCGGTGATTCAGCGCCGCGGCCCGCGACGCGGGGAGGGGTCTCGCGGGCCCCCTCCCCCTGCCTGGACGCCCCCTCGGCCCCCGCGCTCGGTCCACGACGCGCGCCCAGCCCAGGGGCGTTGGGGGAGTGTGGAGTGAAAATTTCAGGTCGCGGCCCCTTTAAAGGATAATAAATAATTAAAGGGAAGGGGAACAGCCACGCGAGAAGCCCCGCCCCCCCTACCTAGGGACGGTGGACAAAGTGCATGCCGCGGCCCGGAGCGCACAGGGCGTCGTGGGCGCGGGCGAGGCTGGGAGCGCTTCAGGGGTAGCTGGAGGGGGACCGGGCCGGACCTCCACCCCGAAGGCTGGAGGACTGGAGCCCGGGCAGCGGCCCCTCCGCCTGTCACCGAGCATCTAGATGGGCGCGCAGGGCTCGGAGTTTCACTCCTGTCCCTTGGGCGCTGAGCCTCACCCTCGCGGGCTCAGCCTCGCTTTGCCGACCGGCGCGTCTGTAGAACGGGGATTACTGACCTGCGCAAGGCCAGTAAAGGTAAACACCTGGGCTGCTGTGGCGAGGACCGCGAGCCGGGCGGGGGCCTGCCGTGCCGCCGCTCGGAGGGGTCTGGGAGCGGGCGCGGCCGCGGGCGGCGGACCTGGTACCGGCGACAGCGTGCGGATGGGGGCGTGGCCTGCTCGTGGCGGAGCCGAGTGGTGGCGCCGCCCACCTGCGGCTGTCAGCACCTCCGGGGACCGTGACAGCGCGGAGGTCTCAAACTTACTTGCTGCGGAGCGGCAGTAATGGCCAGGCTCCGAGCGCTCGGCGGCCCCCGCGCGCCCCGTGCACCCCCGGTTCCCACGCAGCGGAGCTCTCAGGGTCCCATTTCCCGAGAGCGGGAAAACTGAGGCGCAGGAAGGGGGGAAGGTTGGGACGGGGTGTGGGCTCAGCCCCGCCATCCGAGCCGCAGAGGAGACCCCAAAGGGCTAATCCCAGGGGCTCGGGCTCCAGCCCAGCTGAGGGCCGAGTGCAAGCGTTAGGGGCAGGTAGGGTGGGGGTACCCAGAGGGCCCCCTTTCTCGCGGGTTCCCATGGTGGGACTCAGATTCCTGGTTTTGAGTGTTGGCCCCCACTTCCCTGTGCCACGCTGCGCTGCCACCTTCTCTGGGTCGACTCCCCACACCACACCTCCAAAGCTGGGGGTATGCTCTTGGGGGAATCCCCAAACCAGAAATGGGTAATGGGGGCGGGCAGGAGGAACTGCCCCTACCTACCCTGCCAGCCCTTGTGGGAACCCAGCCTCCAGCCCCAGGCTGGTGTGGCCTTAAGGCAGGAGGTGGTGGGAGAGGAGGCCTCTACCCTTAGGATATTAGCGGTACCCCCACAAGACCCACCCATAAAGCACAGCACCCATCCCACTTGCCACCCACCTTGTGCAAAGGGAAAAGCAGATCGATCGGGAAGGGTACCGCCTTCAGGGCTGGCCCCAGTTCAATCTCGGCTCCACCAAATACTCATCCCTTGCCCCGCCTGCAGCAGGTGCATGGACCTCTGTGTGCCTCAGTTTCCCACAATGCGAAATGGGTCAATATTTGTTTCGCAGGCTTACAGTTCCCTTGCTTCAAAGGAAAGGGGGCAAGGTGGGGTACTCAGGTAAGAGGGATACTGCCCTTCCCCCATCTACGAGGGGATGCTGTTGTCCCTAAGTGGCTGAAGGCAACTTACCCAGAGGTGCCCAGCCCCTGGGTTGCAGGACTGGCAGCATCTTCAGTAAGGAGCTGCTATTTTTAGCCCAGGCAGGGAGCTGAGAGTGATATAAGCCTTGCTGGCTCCAGGAGAGGTGGCAGTGGGCAGTCGGCCAAGGTTCCAGGTGTGTCCCTGCTAGCCACACCCATCTCACCTCCATGTCTCAACTGGGAAATGGGTTTGGGGACTCCAGCCCTGGAAGGCTTCCTGGCCAGACCATCTTGGGGACCCCCATGGATTTGGACCCCCCCCATAAAAATCAGCTTCTCAGTCAGTTACTCATCTACTCACTCACCACTAAGGGTTGGGGGCTTCTCTTATATTCTTCCAGGTCCCAAACTGTGCATCTCCCACGTTACTCAAACATGTGCCCACTCCAGGCCTTTGCACTAACCATTTGCCCTTCACTGATCATCCTGTGGTCCCACGCCTTCAGATTTAAACTGGGGCCCCAGCTCCACAGATGGCCTGTCCCTGGCCCCCCAATACCTGGTGTGTCTCCGTCACCCAATCCCATCCTGCTTTATTTCCACTGAGATGCTTCAGCTTTGAAATGGCTGTTTATTTAACCTTGGCCTTGCTGCTGGCCGGACCCCAGCCCTGACATTGGGCTGGCACACAGCAGGTGACACATAAATGCTGGGTGAATGAAAAATATTTACAAGTTCCCACCTCCCTCTCTCATCCCCAGGATTTTGGGTATCTGTTTCAAGGTGAATGGTAAATCAGCGATTCACCATCTCTGTCTCCAAAAACTTACCATTTCTATCTTAAAAGGGGGGTCTCTGGACCTTTCCGAAATCCAAAACTCCTGACTACGGTGCTGCTCACACATGGCCCCAACATGACTATTGTCTTGCCCCTGTGAGCCAGGGCCCCCGAAGATATAACTTATTCATTTGTATTGAGATATAGTTAATGAAAGTTATAACTCTGGCTTCTTTATTTAAAATAGGAGAGAGGAATATAACTGCTTAAATTGTATTTGTCTATATCTAAAATGTAATTTTAATATTTTTTCATAGGATCCCACAAACAAGGATCTGGGAAATTTATAATGAGGCTGTTTGGTCCATTTTATAGTGGGGAAACTTTCAGTGGAGGTGTTCAGGTTGGGGTACAGTGAGCCACATC